TGGTGGAAAAAGGCCATTTTTCAACAAAGTTCAAATCTGGGTTTTTTCCACTAAACCATTATGTTGCTTTAACTTTCCATTTAAACACTTGTGAAGAAAATATGACCAGAACCACTGAGTCATCTTTTGTGCTCATGCTGAAAACTGTCATTGATGGCCTCTGGTGCAAACCATTTTACACTGATTATTTTCTCAGAATTGTTATAATTGAGTAGTTTCTTAGGGAAACAGGACTTCATATGCAGTATGTGGCAGACATATCTAACATGCCACCCTCCTTTTCCTTATTTTTCCTTTTTACTCCACACAATATTACTAAGAATTTTAGATACTACCGTGACTTCCCCCCTACCCCATCTTAACTCTTCGTGTAAATAATATCTTTCTATGTTCTACATTGACCTTAGGATTGTATTATCTGAGTATCTTGAGAGTTTTGCCTAATTAGGAATTTTCTCACAAATCTACCTTTAAGGACAAAGGAGATGGAAAGGTTCAGCATGCACAGATGGGACACACAGAGAGATTAGATGCAGAGATTTTTCCCTCTTTGTAAGGCCAGAGATATCATCTGGATGTGAGGAAGTAAATTGATCTCTAGGCTAATTTTGGTTTTGGTCTTCCTTGTGACACAACTAACAAAGGCACCCAGCTGGCAGAAGCTTAGCAATATGAGCCCCTTGGTTAGTGATAGCATCATCAACTCCATCCAAAACAATATGATGCTATTAGATGACAATATTTTGTAGTTGCCCTTAAAGAAAGTAAAATCCTGAGCTAGTAACATGGGGGTGTCTGCAGAGATCTCTCAGAAAAACCTATAGTACCTGTAGAGAGCTGTCTGCAGGACATGTGTACCAATTTGACCTAGCTGTCTACCTGCCATTAAAAAAATTAATAAATAGTTTTATCTATACATCAATGAAGATAAGGGCAGTGTTCTTGAGATCCCCTATATGATGACTCCCTGGTCTCCAGAAATCAGTTTTGTATTGGCCACAAAAATAATCAGTCTTGCTCAGATGGACACACATACTTGTAAGTACATTCATGCAGATGAATTCCACCTTTGTGTCCTCTGCCTTAAAATGCCTATATATTGAGGCACTCGAGTAATAAATTTGGAAAGAAATGAGATTTTGTTGTTTAATTACAGTATGCCTTACACCGTGATCTGTGAGACAGAAGAACAAGCACTAATGATATATCTTAGGTATAAAGAGAGAGTCAAAATGGGATTTTTCATGGTTCTTTGGATCATCTCATCTCAGTACAGCATATTTAAAATATAGTTTTTCAGGGGAATTGCCATAATAGATGAAACAAAACCCAACACCCAAACAAACAACAAAACAACACAAAGATAGAACTCTCTCCTCATTTTTCATATTCTATTCAATTTACTAACTCATAATTCCCAAACTTATCCCTTTAATAAAGAACATTTGTAACCATATATCACAATTTAGGATTCTTGATCCTCTGATCATCAGCTTCATGGTGAACTAGGTTATCAGAGATATATAACTAATTCTCTGCTCTTTTCTGTTGAAAAAGACAAGTACAATTTGGTTTGAGAAATAAGGTTATATATAGTTGCAAAAATTTATCTTTTGCTTTTTTTACTATTTACTGCCTATAATTCCTTGTTGCCCTGACTGCCCTCACAATGTTTGGAGTATTGGAGATAATGGGACCACATCAGGAATGAAATCCACCTGAATGCCAAAGTGCCTTACTGAACTCAATCCTTAGCTCTATGTCCCTGTGTGTAACACTTGGAAGCCACTCCTCTGCTCCCATGGAAACCCCGAAATGTCTCACATTTAGGAAATAAAATGGTGGCTATTTAATAATGTTTGCTTCTTCTCTGGAAGACGATTATTCAGATTAATTGTGCAGAAAATTAGTCTGATGATTTGATTTCTTTTTTTTTTTTTTTTTTTATCTCAGCCAACAATAAAGTGAATTGATTGTTTTCTGTGGTTTCCTCTGAGTGACTGGCACATAAAGTATTTCAGAGGGTGCATTTGTCTGTGCCTACCTTAGTCTGCAGACTTCTTACTCTGCATAGCTCTGCCTGCTTTACACAGAGCCAGGACAGAGCATTGGCTATGCTAATTTTTGTTTTTGTCACACTATTTCGTACAGTTATTACTCTTATTTAGAAAAACATTTAAGCAGCACCTAAGCAAGTTTCTCCTTTTGATAATAATGCTACAAAGTTACATACTCCCTAGTGCTCTGGGTTCTTTATCTACTGCTTCTCACTTCCACGTAATCTTCAACCAAGATCTTTCTAAAACACTAGGAAGACTGTTGCCTTTTAGCTTGAAGATTTAGTCAACTATTATGGAATTTATCCTGACTATCACCTCTTCCCAAAAAGGGGAACGATATTTAGGCTTTTTCGTTTCTCCTCCCTGAAAACTGTGTCTGTTCATATTTCCCACAGGACACATTTGTTTTGGGGCAGCCAAGGCCCTACAAGTCACATGTTGAATGCTTAACCTGGAGAGGTCATTTTCCTTTTTTTGAACATAGCCTTGTAGCCATCTCAGCAGAAATACTTAGATTTGTAAGGAGCTTCATGCAGTTACAGTTCTAGGAGAAGAGGGGTTCTTTTTCTAAATACATAAAACATATTTTAAAACTGAAAAATGGAAAGCATATAGATATTTTCAAATAACCTGTGAGATCAGATGTTTTATTTGCTCTCTGAGTCATCAGTTCATCTCTCTCCCAATATTCACTGTGGGTTTTTTATTTTATAAGATCCACATTCCTCCCTCCCAAAGCACTTTGAAATTAATGTGCTTTAATGACAACCCTGTCTGCTGCTGCCCCTGTGATCCCTGTCCCCATTCTTGCTGCCATCATTACCAGGGTCAGGAGAGACTATGGCAGGGGCAATCACAGCAGTAACAGTGGAAGAGACTGAGGCAGTCGCTGCCAGTCTCTGATGACCTGTTCCACACCTTCCAGAATGGGCTTTGTGCCCTGGAGAGCCAGTGACAATTTTGCCATATTTTGCTACAAAGGTGTAAAAGCTAATGACACACCAGCAGGCTGCATTGCCAATGCTTTGCTTGAAAAGGAATATTGAGCTTGTACACAGTACTTCTTAGCCATGTGTCCTGTAAGAATTTATGGAGAAAGATGATCATCATTACCCTGAACTGAGGATTAATAACTTGGGCACCTTTTGCTTGCAGAGCACTGAGAAAGGGCTGTATTCCAAAGCCTTCTCTTCCATCCACACCCCTGGAAAAACAAATTTTCGAAATAGGAAAAAATACTGGGATTGTGCAAAAGATTCTTCCTTTATTGGAATAAATCTCACCCATATCCAACAACATCTTGATCCACCTAGAACTAGAGAGGCTTGCCAGTCTTCTCACCATAGAGCTGAAGAGGGAGCTTTGCACTCCTGATGATGCCTCACAGCCTTGCTTTTCAGCAATTAAGTAACCCAATGGACTGTATCAAGAATTCAACTGAAAACATCCTTATGGAGAACTAAGGCCAATTTGCATGTAAACTGTTACTCTAACCAAGTTTATATGAAGGCATGGCAAATTACTGAGCAGCTGTACCAAAATAGTGATACAGTGTTAATTAACACTGAACTGGATCAGGGCTTTGTGCAGGACCAGTCCTGGGAGAGGCAGACCCGTGCTGGCTGGCTCTAACGAAGCTCAGCAGGAACTAGTTGTGGTTGCTGTTTGCTTGCTTTTAACTGCACAAACCATTCTGCATGACTTACCAGCTGAACCTGCTCTCTTGTGAGGGACTGTCACCAGAACTAGTGAGGACTGCTCCCCATAGAGCAGCTCTGATCTAGTCCTGGACCTTGAAACGGGTCCATTTACTTATCCTATAATTCCTTTACCCAAGTAGCAAGTGATACATTTTCCAGTAAATCCCATTCCTAAAGAAAAACATAGAAAACTAGCTTGTAAGAGTAACTACAGCTAGTGTCTTTCTGCTTCCTCAGTCTTCCATGTACATAAGGGACTGAAACTTGTGCAGACACTTTTCTAGAAGAGGACACTGTATTTAATTAGCCCTTTTTGTGGGTGGGGAACTCCGTCTCAGAGAATTCTGAAAGTGTTTTTTTTCTTTATGCAACAAGTCACTTATTCCAGCAGTAGCTCTACTGTAAGGCCTGTGTTCACTTTCCTCAGCTGATCACCAGTATCTGCCCTAGGACAACATCCAGCTCTGCAGGGCCTTTCCTTCTTCTGCCCTGTTTTCCATGTGCCTGAGCTGGAAAGGAGCATGCATGCACTTTAGCAAGGTTCTTCAATCTGGAAAATTTGGAATTGGCTATAAGATTTTGTGCAGACAAAACCTTTGTCTTTGAAGTACTGAGCACAAATGAATTTGTGTCTTCTTGTAGATTTTGGTGTTGATAATACAGGGGGGAAAACCCAGCCTTTTTTGGGTTTTGGTTTGTTTTTTGGTTTTTTTCCTGAGCCAACAATATGTTTGCCTGCAAACTCAAAAAGAAATAAATGAAAAGAAGTTTTTTGGCAACTTAGTTTCTTATATGAATGAAAAAAATCCTTTCTGTCTTCTGTATCATCTCCACCTTTGCTATCTAATTGAATTTAAAATGCAGTAATTCTAGTAACACCAGTACAGAGTACAGGTTCTTCAAACATGTTCAAAACATTCAATCATGTTTTATGTTAGAAGATGAGTATTTAAAACAAAAATATCAAAATAACTCCTCTAGAACATTAATAAGTGCTCACTCACATGTTTTAACAATAGTAGTAGCATGTGGTGGAAAGCTGATTGGATGTTCCTTCTTTGCTTGTGTCCTTCATTCACTACGTATAATAGAAAAACATTTTAGTTTTGTTCACTCCTTAAAGCTTTTCATGGACACAACTTATTATATGAAGACATTTTGAATTTTGTAAAATATATTTAGTAATACCAAATACATTTCTTGCCCTCCAAAATCTAGACAAGCAAAAAACCCAAAATGCTTTGGATCAAATAAATATGCAGGTTTATTAGAGCAAGTTTCCATTTTAAATTTGCAATGGTTTCACAATTTTTTGTTTCCTTCTGTTTCCATTACGGCATCCTCATGATAACCCAAAGTAGCTGTTAAAAAAATATATCCACAGATGAACAATTAAAAAATATTGGTTGTATCTTCCAACATTACAATTATGTGAAAAAGTCAGTATTTACAAAAAAAGTCTGGAAATCAAATATTGACAAATTGTGTTGTTGTCAGTTTAATTGCAGAAGCTACAGGACACTCATAGGGGAAATTTATGCTCACAAGCCCCAAGTGTAAGCCTAGATTTTGTAATGTATTTGAAAAAAACCTAAATTTATACTTTGAATCTGTTTGGTTTAATACGTATACTGGTCATTACCCAGTTCATTTTTATTTTCAACAATATTCTACACACATTTTTTCATTATATTTTCTGTTTGAATGTAAAGTGTAATAGAAAAAACATTCAATTATGCAAACATGAAAATTCTGTTAGTACAGCTAATTGGTTTTTAATACATATTTCATGTACAAAGAAAGCAGTAGCACAAACAGAAAACTAGCAAAGGATAGTGTACTTAACTTGAAACACTTGCAGTTTCAGTAACTGTGAATTACCTACTTGCAAAATATACACAGTACACATAATGTGCACAAACACACACACAACATCACTGCATGCTGGTTTTTTTGATTCAAATATAGCTTCAGGTTCACAAACCTTCGTCCAGAGTTGGTGAGAGCTGTGGTCACATTTGTATATTAAAGGTGGTCAAAAAAAATAGTCTGTTAAATGTAAGCCATTCCACCACACTGTCCTCTGGCTTCTCGTGCTCTGAACAACAGCAAACACAAGGAAAGAGAATGGAGCCGAGATTTTCTTTAGTGACAAAAAAAAAGAATCTTTTAGGCATAATGTTCCCTATTCTTTGCCCAAAATAATCAATTGGGAGCTTCTGGAGTGGTTTATGATCTTATTCTGCACCTAACTCCATTAATTTCTGCTACCATTATTGAGGCAGGCATGGGCACCATCCTCGGTGGAAGCCACATGCAATCTCCTCAAGCAATTAGAAAAGCGATCTTGTTTGTTAGGTTTTGTTGAGAAAGAAAGAACGCAAGCTGCTGCTGAGCTTCCTCCTTGCATGCAGGTTCTGCAGCCACACTGGAGTCCCCGTGCTCCAGCAGCCAGCTGGGACTGTGTCAGCAGTCCTGCAGGGGGCCAGGGGAGCTCCTGGATTTCAGGATCCAGCAAGCTCAGGAAAACAGAGCAGACAGGTAGATGCACTTCTCTAAGAGATTCTCAAGACTTAAAAACTCAGCAAAACTTACTCAAGGACTTCAAAACCCAACCTCAATATGAGACAGGCTCCAAGGAAAGATGTAATAGGATTGTTTACCATATAAACGAACTACAGTCAATTTAGCATGCATTGTGTTGAAAACAAGCACACCTTGAATGCTTTGTAATTACCAAATGTGATGACTTTTTATTGCAATTTACAAAATTTTTATATATTCCCAGAAGACTTCTAAGTTTGATTTTCAGATCTGTGTCTTGAAATGCACTGGTTCTGCAGCTCTTACCAAATGACTACACTCTTCTGAGCTCGTGAGGCTGTTTGCTTGACAACCTAGCAATGTAGGACATCCTAGACGTCCTAGTGAATTAAAAAAGAAAAGATGGCATTCCTACCAATAAAGCAAGTGGTTCTGGTATTCATTATAAGTTTTCTTGGTGTGACTGTTTGTAACAGTGCTGAGCTAGTCATAGCGTATCATACTTATTTATCAATATATTTTTAAAGTTAGTTTAAAAAAATGAAAGTAGGTGCAACAACAAACACACACACGCACAAATATGCTGTATAATTTCCATCAGCATTAAAGGAAGAGGAAATGTCACCCTAAAAATGAAACCCACAATACACATAGAGACATCGACAGCACTAAAAGATTTGCCTTCAAAAGGACTGTTGAATTTCAGTGTCTGAGAACTGCTAGACCTTCACAAGATGAAGCATCACAAGCAACTGAATTCCAGCAGCTCAGAGTCTGTCTAACTCTATTCCTTATCTGGACAGCCAAGAGTTTTTCCCAACTCCTTTCTGGTAATGTTTAAGACTAAACTGTAATCTTGCTCAAATTGTCTTCTTTCCCTGTGACTTCATCAGACAATCATGAGAAGTTTTATGCATTAACACTAGAGTGGAGTTAGCCCAATACATGAAAACTCCATTGTTTTGACTGTTTTAAACAGCAAGCAACAATGCACTTAGCATTTTAGGAACAGACAAAAATTAAAATAAATTCTATTTAAAAAAATAACTGCTTTATTGTTGCCACACCTTTCTGATCAGTTGCCCTAATCTTAAAAAACTTTCAGAAAATAATTTACATACTGCAGCATAGCTTATGAAGCAAGGGGGCACTTTTTGTCTCATGGCCATTTTAGTCATTCCTTGGTACCATGATGGTGGCCTGGATTGGCATAAAGTGCCATTCCACAACCTTCCCAAGCACTGTGACAGGACTGCAAGCCCTGCCTGCCCTGAGGCCTGTCTCATGTTGGGATGGGGATGAAGCTGGTTGATTTGGAGTGGGGCATCTCCCTCCATGTGTTTAGGCTGTGGGTTGGGCTTCTGTTGTTGGTGAAAGAAGTCTGTCGCCTGCTGTTGCTGTTTGAATCTTCTTTACTCAGCGTTTGCTTTATTTTTTGGCAGCAAGGGAAGCTCTGTAGGCAGTCTTGGAGGAGGTGCCCACTGAAGAACATGTAGATCCATGGGTTACAGCAACTGTTCAGGCTGGCCAGCAGAGCCGTAACAGTAGTTGCAGTGTTTTCAGAATCTGGGGAGAGGGGGAGAAAGATGTTTAATCATCAAAAAAACATTTGCACCATTCAGTCGATTGCTTCATTAACCATTGGATTTATTTCCCTGAATATTCGAGTTCTAAATGTTGAGCTACAGCATTTTAAACAGATGATGAGAACATAATCAGTAAAGATCTTATTTATGTAAGGCTGCCATTAAAGTCAATGAGGATTTCTCTGAACTGACTTCAAAAAGCTGTGACAGATTAAGTTATGGGGTAATCCATCCAAAATAATGATTTAGTCACATTTCCACTGATGTGTATCCATGTGTTGATAAGCTCCTGCTTTAAATACTGAAAGGTTTTTTCCAGACCCTGGGAGACAATGGTAAAATTTCCACTGCTTTCAATAACACTGAATTTTGCTGCATATATTTGCATGCTGAAAAGTATTGAATGCTCAACTAACTACTGGATTGTTTGTTAAATCTGGATTTTAGAGGTTGAACAAATTTTACTTAAGGGAAAAATAGAATTTGGCACTATGGCATGAAAAAACTATGGTGTTCTACCTTCAATAACTAGTTAATAGTTAGATCAAATACTCTAAATATGTATTTAGTCTAATCAATTTTAAGTGACTTTTTTTGTAAATATTGGATCTTCAAAAAAGTATAATTACTGTATTATGCAGTTCCATTTATTTAAAGAATCTCTTCAAACAAATCTATCAAATAAATACCCACCTGTTAAATTAGATTTAATTTCCTTTGAAGTAAAAAAAAAAAAATCTGTTTACTGCGAGCCTTTATTTCTCAACAGAGATCTGCATTATAGGCTTGACTTCAGTCCCATTTTAGAGGTAATCAACACTCTTACTACAGTAAGCGATCATCTGGGGATATTTTAAAAAATCAAGAAATTATGGATTCCAACATTTTGATTTGCTGTTCTCTCATTATGAGGAAACAGAATATATGTCACTATGCTGCCTATCATTACCTATGTAATAGCTTTTAAACTCACCAATTTTTTTCAGACATATTTAACAGCGGCACACGTATCTCCAAAGTCTAAATTGCCACTGATTCGTGAAAATCGGTGACTTGACTAATGGAGCTCTCAGAGGTGACTGCCTTGCTGAGAGGAAGGGTTCAGGGTGCGCTCAACCCTATTATTTGACAGCAGCTACAGGAGAGAAGACGTAATAAGTTCTCTCTTCATTTAACTGCTCCAACATGTGTGTGTGAACACTTCTCAACAATACTCAACATTTCTAAAGTTTTCTTATCCGCAGCTTCAAACGGACGAAAATGCTGCTGCTTCAAATTACGGCAGCAAACGCTCCGGTTTCCATCCGCTCCTTTTGCGGCTGCCGCAGCAGCCCCTCCGGGCCGGGCCGGGCCTGGCCGAGCGCCGCGACCGCCGCCGCTCCCGGGGCCGCCCGTCCGGGACTACGAGCGGTGCCGGCGGGGCGGCCCCGGGGGCAGCGGCTGCCCAGGGCTTCTCTTCTCCCCCACAGCGGCGCTCGGCCGCTACTCCCCGGCGGGAGAGGGACCCGTGCGGGGCCGGGAGGGCGCTCCGCGGTCCCGTTCTCCGCTTCCGCGCCCTTTCCCCACGCTGCGCCCCGGGACAGCCGGCTGCGCTCCAACGCGTGCGGGGCTGCCGCTGGGGACGAGCGGCGGCGTCACCTACCGACCCAGGGGAAGCGCTGGTCCCACACGGACCACATCTGGATGGTGAAGAAGGGCGCCCAGCAAACGACGTACACCGAGACGATGACGAAGGTCATCTTGACGGTGCGGATCTTGGCGCGGGAGATGGTTTTGACGTTGCTGACACAAGGGGCAAGCAGCAGCCCCCGTCGCGGGCCACCATCATCACCTGCCCGGCGACCGCCACCCGCTGCTGCCGCTTCCCCCGGGCGCGTCTTGCCCCGCACGTTGCGCCAGATGCGGTAGCAGATGAAGCCGTAGCAGATGATGAGGATGAGGACAGGCGCGATGAAGATGCCGCCGGTGATCCAAGTGATGTAGGCGCGGGGCCCCCAGGGCATAATGAAGTGCGCCCAGCAGTCGTAGACCTGCGAGCCGCGCTCCACTTCGCTGAGGGAGAAGATGAAGTACTGCGGGGTGCTGAGCAGCAGGCTGAGCGCCCAGGCCGCCGCGATCATCCCGTACGAGCGCTTGGTGGGCTGCTGCAGCGTCTTCAGCGGGTGGCAGACAGCGATGTAGCGGTCGGCGGTCATGGCCACCAGCATGTACGCCGAGGCGAACATGCCGAAGACCTGCAGGTGCTTGACGACGCGGCAGAGCCCGTCGGGGCCGTGGAAGCGGTGGGTCACCTCCCAGCAGAGCTGGGGCAGCACCTGGAAGAAGGCGACCACCAGGTCGGCCAGGCTGAGGTGGCGGATGAAGAGGTGCATGCGGGACGCCTTGCGCGGCGTGCGCCGCAGGGCCAGCAGCACGCTGCCGTTCCCCACCACCGCCACGGCGAAGGTGACGGCCAGCACCGCGATCTCCAGCTTCGCCAGCTCCTCGTCCCGCCCGAAGGGGTCCCAGCCGCCCAGGCTGCCGTTCGGCGACCCCGACCACGCCTCGGGACTGGGGCTGCTGCCGCCGCCGGGCTCCGCCGCCCGCCACCGGCTGCCATTCCCGGGTGAGGGCACAGCCCGGGGGGAGCCGGCGCCGCCGGCGAGGCGCATGGAGGGGCTGCGCGGTGGGGCCCGGCCCGGCCCGGCCCCCGCACCTCCGCTCGCCCGCCTTTCCCCTCCGGCGCCCGGAGCGCCGGGCCAGGTGCCTTTATCCCCCCGGCCGCGGGAGGCGAGGCGAGGCGAGGGGGAGCTCCGGTGGCAGTGGCTGCCCAGCCCTGACGCCAGCCCCCTCCTTCCCCCGGCAGCCGCCGCCCGCCCGCCCCGCCACGGGAGCGGGGCCGCTCCGCCCCAAAGCGCTGCGCCCAGCGGGAGCGGGCACCGGCAGCGCGAAGGGCTGCTCGGGCCGGAACGGTGCTCCTCGCGGTCAGGTAAAGCAGCACTTATAACTGCGAGTAAAACTGCCGTAATCATGCAGAGCAAATGGAGGTCGGTGAGCATCAGCCTGCACCCCGATCTGCCTTCTAGCCAAGGCAAAGTGACTTGTCGGTAAGAGGTGCTGGTTTGGTCCTGAGAGAGTGCACCTGGGCCTTTGGCATTTCACTGGGATCAACCCCAGAGATGTAAATTATTAGAAAAAATAGCAACCTAATGTCTCTGAATGTTTCAGGACTTCATCTCGGGCCATAAATGTCATCCAAGCCTTAGCATAGGTCTAAACCACACGTTTCTGCAAGTACAAGCAAAATCTCCACATCTGCTGGAGAGTTTCTGGCAGTGAGCCATTAAAATTCTTGTTTTAAGCACGGTTTAGATGACGAGTGTTCTTGCTCTTGAAAGAATGAATGAACTTGGTGAAAATTTTGGTCCCATTGTCACGAGTGTGGATTATATCCTGATTTCACTGGTACCTGAATTTGACCCTTCATTTAGCAACTCCTTCCTTCAGTCACACAAAAATGCATAAGATCACAGCAAAGAAATACTGTGTTAGATACCAGCCCTACTGTGTTTTTCAATAAAACTCCCTATGTCTCCTCATAGAATTAAATTCTGTTACAAAAAATATGTGATTTTACAGGGAGAGGAAAAAATGGGAAAGAATGAAAGATTGTCTTACTTCTTTAATTAAAAAGATATTTTCAAATTTTTTTACTCCAGAAGAGTTTTAAAGTTTAAAATACAAGATGATAGGCTTCTGAACATGTCAGCATTGTGCAAGGCTTTATCCCAGGCTTTTTGCCACTTTCTGGGCTTTTTAGCCCCTGAGAGGCTATGTGCACCCACCCCAGACTGTCACTACCCTTCCTTTGCTTGGGGATCAGTGGCAGGAGTTTAGGAGGACACCTGCTCCTACAGGAGTTTTCCAATTAAAACTGCAGACCCTCCCAAAACCTGGAAATACACACAATAAATGTGGATATCCTAAGTTTCTAGCAAACTTGTTTCTTTAAATATGCTTTTGTTCCAAAAAACCTGATTTTTACAAACAGTTCAGTGCGTTATTCACAGCTTAGTGCCTATTTATTGTGTTAGACCTGGGAAATGAGTGTGACCACAGGTTTCAGGTCAAATAGGGGAAATTAAAGCTGCATATCACAAATCTCCTAACACTGCACCACTACCAAGGCTTCTTTCACATTCCTTGCCTGTCTCTCTGACATGCTTTACAGGAGAGGTGAATGTTACGTAAATGCACAGTGTTACTCAGGAAACTCTGCTAGCAGACTTTCTGCTGTGCAAACCATGCGAGGATCATAAAGCTCTATTCACTGCTGGGTAGGTCATCCATTAACAGAAGAGATGATACTCAGGTTTGCAGCCAAACAATAAGATAAACGTGGTTGTATTAGTCCAGGATACTGAGAATTTGTCAAGCCCACATCAACTCAGAAATACTCCTTTTCCAACCTATTCTTTGTTCCTCTGAATGGCCTTTATAGTAATGTTTCCAGAGCAAAGGGCTGGAAAGTTGCCTGAATATCATTGCACAAGGCTGTACCTAGTGATTACATGCAATGTTAAGCATGATACTGATAATAGTTTTTATTCTATTTTACTCTATCAGACAGAAATAATCTAGGGCTAGTCTTGATGTATTTGCTTGTTTCATTTCCCAAATTGATCAAAATTGATGTTTTTAGATAACATACCCAAAGAGGCTGTTATAAATTCCTTTGTTTCAACAAACCTAGATAAGTCAGTAGAGATTTTTATTTATATCTAGTAGCTAAAAAATACCCTCCAGACAAATTCATGACTCCGAAGGTTTCTATACTAGATTAATCAGCATCTAGTCTGATCTGGGTTGCTAAATCCTAAAAGTATTCGTGTTCTTTAAATTAATCAGTACTTGTAGAATACCCTTCCGAAGAGAAAAATTGCCACTGGGAAGGCTGATGGAGGAAATTAACATTTTTGCCCTATGATTCACCTGGAGCTGGAGCTGAAATCTTGGTAAAGAAAATTGACACTGCTGTTACAAGAAACCTTTATGTGTTCTCACTAAGCACACAGAGTTCTACAGAACTAAGAATGGTAAGGATTTCTAGCATGTTCTCTGCTGCCATACAGGTTTCTGTAAAAGTGCTGGAAGGTTGAGAGATATCTTTCTGAATGCTGAACTCACTGAAGACTGAATGGCTTTTGTAAAGTACTCAAAAACCTAACTGGAACAAGATCCAGTGTGTTGCCAAATGCAGCTTTACCTCCAGACTTAACCTCTTCCTCCAGGCAAAATAAATGCTCTGAGTAAGTCAAAGAGTCAGTATTGTAATCCTGGGAAATTGATGATGATTTGTATTCTGCAAGATAACTTTTAAACAAAAAATGGGGGGGGACCTTTCAGCATAATCTTCTTCAGGAAAACTGGTTGTTTGGAATTTTAGTCAAGCTATGGTTGTCTGCCAGGTTTTGTGAAAAGTTGCTCTAGCAGTGGGAGTTACAAAAAATCAATATAAGCAAAAAAAAAAAGTCAAGCTTTTAAAATAAATTCCTCATGCAGGATAAGGGTTAAAGCACTGCTAAAAAAAGAGGTTTGTTTATTTGTAGAGGATTCAGCTGCCTTGTTAAAAAGCACATAAAATATCTACATAGATATGAACAGCTGTCTCCTGCAATTTGTCTCCAAGTTCAAAGTATCTGTAATGCTCCCTTTGACTGACACAATTTAGTAAATAAGGATGAGTTTGATAGGCCTTCCCAGACAGCCATGAAGCTTAGATGCTCCAGATCCCAACATTTAAATTCACAGCTATGGGAACCAAGCATGGGAAAAAGCAGATGTGCTGAGTGAGGGACTACTAAAAGCTGGGGTCACCAGGGAGCAAGCAGACATGCCATTCATTGCCATCCCTGTGAAGGAAATGCCACCTGAAGGCAGACAGGAGCACACAAAGCCCACAAAGCAGACTCCTGAAAAAATGCCTTGTTGGCCCTCTATTGGCCTAGCTTTTGGGCTCCCAGCACAAAATCAAGTGAAGAATTGACCCAAACTGCCTTCAAAATAGATGACAAGTCTGAACTTAGGATTCTGAAAAGGCTGTAGTACAAGATCAAGAGACAAGGGAGACTAAGGGCCAGCTCCTACTCTGGAAAACACAAGAAAGCATCAGTAAGAGACAGAAACTCAAGATTAGCCCTCAATATTCAGTTTGCAAAAGCCCAGTTCAGTGTTTGGAAATGTAGATAAGTGGCCAGGAAAAAAAGAGCTTTAAGGTTATGCCCTAAGTGTTCCTTTGCTTGTTAACTGAAAGCATAATTAGATTCTGGTATTTATATACACAGGAAGTCACGTCTGGCCATCCCTGTCATACTGCATTTCTTTTCATGATGGCGAGTCATGATTTAACCACAGTCAACAAACTGAGCACCAACAGCTGCTCTCTCAGTCCTCCATAGTGGGATGGGAGAGAGAATCAGAAGGGAAAACACATGGCTTGAGATAATGACAGTTTAATAGGTAAAGCAAAAGCTTTGCACACAAGCAGAGCAAAACAAGGAATTCATTCAGCATTTCCCATGGGCAGGCAGGTGTTCAGCCATCTCCAGGAGAGCAGGGCTCTGTCACGCACAGCAGTGACTTGGGAAGACAAATGTCATCCCTCTGAACATCCCACCCTTCCTCCTTCATTCCCCAGCCTGATATGCTGAGCATGAAATCACACAGTGTGGGATATCCCCATCCCAGCTGCACCCCCACCCAGCTCCTTGTGCACCCCCAGTCTGCTCACTGGTGGGGTGTCCTGGGAAGCAGAAAAGGCCTCAACTCTGCCTAAGCACTGCTCAGCAGAAAAAAAAAGACCTCTGTTATCAACAGTGTTTCCACACACACACAAAACATAGCTGCATACAACCTACTGCAGAGAAAATTAACGCTATCCCAGCCAAAACCAGCACATGGAGGTTGACTGTGGTATTCAGGCAGCATTGCACAGGGACCTGTGCAGTTACATGTCACCAGAAGCAGCAGCAAGTTGCCCTTTTCCTTTTGCCTCTTTCCTTGCATCCTTTGTTGACCTGGGTGACCGCAATAAGGGCCTTCAGGATACAGAGTTCGACCATTTCCCTGAAGAAATGTTAAAACAGCAGCTTGTCTGGATTTCAAGGCAGTGAAGGAAATGGGCATTTGAAGGCCTTTCTGTGTTTATAACCTTGTGAGAAACAACTGCTCACTTTGAAAATTAAAAAAGGTTTATTAAACCTTGACAAAAATACAACAAATAACTATATAAGGAAAAAAATCGCAGCACTGGGAACTACCCTTGTGGATACCACATGGCTGGTTCATCTTCAAGATGGATGCTCAGTCTTTTATACTTTAATACCCCTGGGGGTTGCATCAGCCAGCCTGGCCCCTCCCAAAGTCTGTCAGTCAGCTCTTCTTTGCCATTTATGGGTGGAAAGGGTGGAAACTGCTTTCTTGTAACTTGGTTGGAGGTCAGGTGTTGCCATGCTGCACCCCCTGAGCACCAAGCTTTTCCATTCCCACCTGCCCCATGCAAGGGACAGGTGTGCAGCCTCTTTGTACCTGTCCTAGACAACCCAGGCTGTCTGATGGCAACAATACAGGGGGGGAAAGGGAACTATGGGGAGAACAGAGGGCATCTAAACTA